CATGAGGGCGCACTCTCAACACTCGCATGCCTGGCCACAAAATCCTGGTGTGAACACAGGAAGCGTTAAGCATGACGTGGCTCTCCCTGACCAATGCAGTACTTACACCTGCTGGAGTTGACGATGCGTAGAGTGTGCAGTGCATTGCGCTGAAACTGAGAAGTGCTCCTCCTGGTTGTCTCAATTGGAGCACCACACTCTTTACATTTACCAATGCAATCTGTGGGTTTTGGATGGTAACATCATGACACGGACTAAAACATGCGTCCACAGCAGCGCAGCTTCGTCCATTCAGGCAGACCTGCACACGTTGCACACCGCGCCAGGCAAGAACTAAGGTTCCACCTGGAGTGTGGCATGCTTAGTTTGTACGAAGTGCCTTATTGCTCTCTGTCTGCTTGGAACACAGGGAGTGACAAGCATGACATAGCCCCTCTAGCCCAAGCTTTGTACCACTTGCACATCCTGAATTTGCGCAATAACAGAAAACCAGAACAGAGACAAAAAGTTTAGATCTGACACTTGCTCTTGGAGAGAAGGCTACCTTAGACGAACGCTTGTGCAAATGGTTAGTTCAAAAGAACTGCCGAATCTTGTCAAGCAGAGACAAGGACAGACAAGGATGAGCCCTCTTGGCGTATCTGGCAAACTTAACTTCGTGCGGAAGGGCCAAGTAAAAATTTTGAGGCGACGGGCTTGGAGCCCACCGGCGACGAATGAATGGCCTCAAGGGCCTTTGACATGAGGGCGCGCACTCAAGCATGCCTGGCCACAAAATCCTGGATGAACACAGGAAGCGTTGAGCATGACATGGCAGTTCATTGGGCTGAAACTGAGAAGTGCTCCTCCTGGTTATCTCAGTTGGAGCACCACACTCTTTTTATTTACCAATGCAAGCTTCACTCACGGTTGATTTGCACTCTGGAAGCGGTCGGTGTGGCGCATCCGGCCACGTCGTGAGACCATTTGCACTTGTCGATGGTCCCGTTTTTTGATACTGCTACCTGGGTGCAAGATCTCATCACCTCCCCCCTTGGGGGGGGGGAGGGGGACTTCGTTGCTACCTCCGGATTTTCTAAAAGCCGCGGCTTGCCAGCTGCAGATCTCCTGGGATCTTTCATTCGTTCATATTCGCATGCTCTTCCCCAGGGTCTCAAGTGCCATGCCTCTCATAACCTGGAACAGAGGCCGGAATAGAGGCAGGGTCCAAGTGATCAAGTATACTCGTTACAACACTCTGGGTAGTCTTGTCTTGGCTCGTCCCGTATGTAGTGAGGTAGAGATGCTTACTGTCTATCCTACTTCTGATTGCGGTCTTTCTGGTTGCCTTAGCTGATTGCCTTCCATGCAAACCTGCAACCCATGTCTTGCAGTACCTCGGTCTGAGCGATGAAGCCCCCTTTTGAAGTACGGCTCGTCGGCTCCATAACTCACCGCATGAAGAATGCAGCAGATCTCGAAAGCCTTTCCTCCCAAGAGAGGTACTGTCACTTCCCCTCGGCAGATATGGACCTCATGTCCATCTCACTGACAGCCAAATTTACTGTACAGCTACGATAGGCCGCGCTGTTGGCAATGGATTGCCCTTTCGTTTGGCGCGTTAGAGCCGATTTGTCACCAGTGGTTTTCCAGAGTCATGCATTATGAGCACAAGAGGACAGAAACGCACCTAAAATTATCAACCATGCCTCCTGACTTGCTAATTAAAGTCGGTCTGATCTGATTGCCCACGCCTCTACAAGCACAAAGCAACATCCCGGGCAGGAAAACCACCTGTTTCTGTCGCTCATAAGGTGGCCAATCCGTCCAGGCCTAGTAACCAGGCCATGAATAGTGTCAGCAACTTCGACTTGGCTCCAAGCTTATCAAGTGGCCTTTTTGCGCTAATTCAACGCCCGATTTATGTTTCACGCCTGTTTCACCCTGCATGTACATTCAAGAGTTTCCTGCTTCTTCTCTGGTCGGTTTTTGTTTGGTGTTGGTGTGTGTTGTTGTTGTGTTTGTTGCTTGGCACTTCATACTGGAGACTCTTTCAAAAAACAGCACAAGCTGACCTATGCCATATGCATTTCCTGCATGAATGGCGGCTCCACCCGTGCAAAAAAGACATTGCTTTGGCGAGCATAGCTCATGAAATGCACAGTGTTTAAAAGCTTTAGAAGTCCTGTAGCTTTGTGGTGGGAATGTTTCTTGAACAGTTTTGTGCATGTTTAAGTGCGTTTCTTTCAGTGTCTCGCAACCTCACAGCCTTTTGCACTTTACTTAGGCTCAAGACTTGAGCACTGGCTCAAGTGCACGTAAAAGTGGCAGTGCTTTTCGTCGGTTGGTGTTTAGAACGGTTGTAATCTGCTTATTCAAGGCAGGTAGCAGGTTTTTCAGGCAGGGGGATGAGAGGCAGCAAGGAAACCAACAACTTCAGCGGCGAGGCCCTTGGAGCAAGCTTTCGAGCATCTGGTTTTGCAATGCCGTGCCCGCATGGCGGCTTCCGTGGCTGAGTGGGTCACGTGGGCAAGTGTGAGAAGAGAGGTGTCAACTGCGCCCATGGCCAAGCAGTTGCCCCAAGCCAAGGCAAGCCACCTCCCACGATGGGTGTGTTGAGGTTGGCGAATCTGGTGTCGAGCACATGTTTGCGTGCAATCTCCAACTATGATCTCCATTGCCCCTACACAAGGTGCAGAAGGCTTTGCAGCCTCGATTAGATGCTGCTCTGCGTTCACCGCTTTCGTTTTTTCGTGAAAACACACAACAGACCCAATAAACCAAGTAACACCACAATGAGGCAACAACTGCTGACAATTTTCTGTCCGACAAATCCAGGTCATTGTGGTTTTATGACATGGGGGCTTTACCTCCATGCCTGCCTTTTCTGGATCCATTCTCAGGCACAAATTGTGGACATACATGCGTCGGCCACCTGGAATTGGTAAGGTTCAGGAACATCAAGGTGGACATGCATGGAAACTATTCGGCTGCTGAATGACATCGGTTCTACTATTGATTTGTCTTGGTGGATGCCTTGAGTTTGTTGTAAGTGGGAGCTCCTCCGGATCTAATACAGTAATTCAATTTGGAATCTATTCTTCAATACACCCCCCCCCCGACCGCTTCATCCCGAAGTGGATCACCTCGCTGGTTAATTGGTGTTGAGCACTCTAGGCTTGGGGCAGTGTTTGAGGATAGATCCGACATGACACGTTGTTTTTAGTGTTTCTTGTCGTCAAGGCTTATCATAACACTATTAAAACATATATATTTCAATCTTTCGTTTCTTCCTCCACTCTCAAGTTGACGTTAGGCCCGGTTCCACCAACACCACACTGCATATTTTACATGCTTCTTGTCTCCTCCCACTGTCCTACCTTTCGTGTATCCCTCTTCTCAAGTTGTGGCAAGGATTGGCGTGATGTTTTATAAACCCAGCTTCGTTATTCAGGAGCACCGTCAAAAACTTGCGGGACCCCGGTAAGGAGACAAACAAAAGAAAACCGCGCTTTTGTTAGCAGTTGTTGGAGACGATTTTGGCCCCGATAGATTGCCCAGTTGTCGAACGGAATTGCTACCGAAGAAACCTTCCGGAGAGCTGGCTTCCCACGAGCGGCCCAACAGACAAAAAATTTGGAGGCACTTCGCTTAACGAACAAGGAACTTGAGGTGGTTCAGGCGCTGACAGGGCCGTGCTGTAGCCCCTACACCAGTTGCAAGAGTTTGCACGGACCAGCTGTGGTGACTTGTCCCGCTCCCGGGATTCCAGGCCAGCGGTGACGGCTGCGGAAATGCAATTTTTTTCTGGAAAGCGCATCGCGCAGCGACCCATTGACGGACACACAGCCCGCACATCACCAGGCTTCAATTTGCATTTGGCAAGCTGTTCGAGAACCGGCTCACTGGTGGCTCTCGCCCGTGCAGTTGGCGGTGGCTGTGTCTCTTCGGGGGGAAGGCAGCCGTCCACAGTGTTGGCAATTGTTTTTTTTTTTTTTTTCGCATGCCTTTTTGACTGCGCGATAGGTCTGTGGGTGTGGTCCGTTGTTGCACTCACAGCTTCCTCTGACCAAGTGCCGGGCCACTTGGATTTAAAGGAGTGGATAGGAAAGGCAAACCTGCGTGTCACAGCTCCCCATGGCCGTGGCCCCCTTACCGCGGCGGTCCGCCAAGTGGATCACGTGCTCAACCCAATAAAACGCAAGCTCATCCGATAGCCAAGTGTTCAGGGGATGACCCCTAAGCCGGCCTGCTGTGCCAAGCGGCGTGCTCTACCAGGATTGCGCCCCCAGCCCTTCACACTGCCGCTTTTTCAGCCTTCACTTCAATTCACGCCGTTTTGGTGGCAGAGCCAACCACTTTCCCGCACGAAAATGCGCGAGCCGCCGTCCTGTGGTGCGGGGGCGGGCCTGAAACCCGCCCCGCGAGCGGGAGGATTGGTGGGTGGCGCTGGTGCCACCAGAGCCTCATGCCCCAGCGCTACCAGGAAAATGTCGAGGTTTTCGAAGCCAATAGTGCCCTGTGCCGGCCCGGTGGCCTCCCGTAAGGGGACTTTGGTTGGAACATCCCCATGGCGGCCCCCCATACAAAATGGAGGGGCCAACGTGCTGGATCTTCCCTTGAGGGGACGTCAGGTTTTGACTTTATAGAGAAAACATGCTTGCTGAAGATGTGTTGGTCGTATCTTGTAATAACCATTCCTAAAAACTCAGCAGCCAAACCATGGCATCATCAAATGCTTCGGCGTGGAGTATGGGGTCAGTAAATTGTATTGCGGCAGCTGTGTGCACCGGGGCTTTGTAGCCTCATGATTCTGCAATGTGGACGCGCCGCCCTTCCTTCGATTCTTTGTTGTGTTGGCTGCGCCTTCATATGCACATCAACTGCAGGTTTATTTTTTATAGTCTGCACTTCGACCTAAATTCAACCTCGTTTGATTTAGTTGCGTTGAACGTGTTAAGCACAGTGTCACCAATTATTTTTTTACAACCTTATTTTTTCCTACATGGCCGGCCTGCAGCAAACATCCCGCAAAAACGGCTCCCAGAACGGCTTCTGAAACAAAGCAGCCGCGCCACACGTTTGGTCGTGCGAATTGGCACACAAAAGGTAAATGAAGAAATGCGCGCGGAATTGATTTGGGAAATGTGATGCTGTTAGTTTTGAGTGTGCAATGTTTTTGACTTTTAAAGTTGTTCCACACTTCAAGTTTTTTGCACAAATGGTTGTTGTTTATTTTTTGTATTGCTAAGCACTATACAACTTAGATTTGGCTAGGTACCTCATTTTCCTCCGTAAGCTGAATGTGTCAAAATGTCTGGTAAGCGACCACGGGCATTGTGTGCACTTAACGTTCTTGCAGCCGCTGGGTCGTGATGACAATGCCAACGCTTTGGAAAAGCATGTGGGGTAGGTGCCAAGCACTTTGAACAAGGGCATGTCATGATAAGCACCTCATCACTCCGCCTTTTGGTGCGGCAATGGCAGCTGAGTCTTTCAGGCATGTGGTCTCGCTTGGGTGTCGATGTTCGCAAGCTTCGGTGTACAGAGACTTTGGGCAAAGGCGTTATGCATGTCCCTTTGATTGGATTTTCAGCTCTGCGAAGATGGTGGCCCATTGCCTGCAAAATGATTTCAAGGACTTCTTGGACCGGCACCAGTATTTTGAAAATGCCGCTGTTTTTGACGCCGTTGGCTTGAAACCTGGATCTGCCCCACGCGAACGGAAACTCATTGGGCATCAACTCTATTCAACAATGACTGGTGGTGTGGGTCGGGGGACCATCTTCAATCATCGAGACCCATTGCACAATGATGAGGACTGACGTGCAACACCAACGAATTTGAACTTTGGATCTTCGTGCGGGCTGTGGGACATTCGCTTTATTGCGCGAACTAGTTTCATGGGCGATATTCGATTGTGCGCGGTTTGCGCACAATTTTGTTGTGTTCCTTTTTTGTTCATTCCTGCGAACATGAAGGAACACGTGAGATTCCGGTTTTTCAACTGCAAGATAATTCAAGACTCGATTTTATGTTCTGCTTTTCAGCCCTGTTTGCAAAGCTGCGCGGAGCGCAGGCAGAGACCGCAGTGTTAAGGTTATTTTGTTGTATAGTTGTTTCATTTTTTAGTTCAGTTTTGTTGTGAAGACTAGTGCCATTCTCCTTCTTGTTTCTTCGTCGTTCAATCGTTTGCACTTATGTAGTGCGAATGGACAAACAAAACACTCACACCTGTTCATGAAGTGTCGAGATGACACGCCCAAATCGAGAGTACCGCAGACCCCTTTGGAGCACCAAAAGATCTGTATGGTAGCGGAACCGAGGATCACCATTCCGGAAGGCCTGGTGTGAGGCTCCAGGACCGAGCTACCTGGATCTTGGCTGCCAGGCCACGTCCTTGCCATAGCGGTTGGCAATCAGAGCCAGAGAGGCTCCCTCACGGTGAAAGTCGCTTTGAAGGGAGCGAGGGCACTTGCTTGCATCGCCGTGGGCCCCAACCTGGACATCCTGGACTTTGAGAGCGTTGAGCTCTACGATGACTGGGCAGGAGGGAGGACCTGCCCAAGCGGTTCTGGATGGCGCTGAAGGTCGCCAGGAGTATGATGCAAGCGAACCATCATGGTTCAAGACGCTGCCGAAACATAATGGGTTCAACCCCGGTTCACGAGAAGAAGAGCTCAATCGTTGGAGAAACTTCTGTTGGGGGCTAGAGGTCATGGATGGTGAGTTCGTCAACGACGGCAAAGATCTTCGAGAGCGCCGTGAGAGGCCAGTGAACCCGAGGTATCTCTACTCCATCCTGGCTTCCTTGGTCAGGCAGAGGCCATTAGCCTTGATCAAGCAGGTCAAGCAGGCCAACGGACTGGAGGCTTATAGATTGTTGATCAACAGCCTTGAGCCAGCGAGCAAGAACCGGTCGCTGGGTCTGTTGACCATGGTCCTGGAGTGGGGTGCCTTTGATGGCAAAAAGGGCAACTTGCCCAACCAGTTGCTTAAACTCGAAGTTTGGGGAATACGAACGAACAGGCATGAAACTCGACGACACCATCAAGGTCGCGGTCCTCATGACTGGGCAGCCGAAGGCCTGGCTGCAGCTCAATGTGGCGGAGGCCCAAGACTACAGCAGGCTGCGAGAGGCCATCGTCCAGTATGACAGCGCCACATTGAAATGGAATAACGCCAGGATGTTGGGTCAGGAAGTGAACAAAAATGTTGCGGTTCCCATGGAAGCCGACAGGATCATGGATAAGGGGGAAAAAAGTGGCAAGACTGGCAAGGGCAAGGGCAAGGAGAGAAAAACAAAGGAGAGCAAAAGGGTGGCAAGCAAGGCGGCAAGGGCACAGGTCAGCAGAAAGGGCAAGATCATGGAGGTGGTGGCAAAGGCCAACAGAAGGGCTCATGGAAGGAAGAGTAAGGGCTCCTGTGCAGGAATGCTTCGTATGTTGCAAGCCAGCCATCCAGCCCGTGATTGTTGGAGGAAGGTGAGACAGGTGGTGGACAGTCAAGGCTCACCAAGTGATAAAGGCACCACGGTGACAACAAGCGAACCAGGCAACAACTACGAAGCATCTTGGCATCAAACGCATTGAGTTTGTGGAGGAAGTTTCGCAAATTGCACGAGAATTTGATGATGTGATGATCTTTGACCTGAGGCCAAACACGGGTGATGGTTCTGTCTGGATGATCAAGTTCTACCACCTGGCGGCCGAGGACAAGGAAGATGAATGTAGCTCTGAGGGAGAGCTAGCCTATGGCATCAGAGGAGCAGTACTTCGAGGACCATGAGGGACTTTGTCAAATGATCGTGGACTCGGGGGCAGATGCCGCCATCCTGCCCGCTTCCTATCCGCAGGCTTGTTCACAGCTGTTGGAGAAGGCACCACGGCTCCAAGACGCCCAAGGTGAACGAACCCCAATGAAGGGGTACAAGAACGTCAGCTTTGTGTTCACGGCTGAGGATGGCAAGAGAATTCTCATCAGGGAGAAAGCGCACTTTGCTGAAGGCATCTCTCAACCCATCATCTCCTATGGGAAGTTGATGGAGAATGGATGGGGGATTGATGGATGTGACCATGCCCCGGTCGTTGGAGCAGGACTAGGAGGTCAAGTTCGCAACCCACTGAGGTTGCAGAACAAGAGCTTGATGGCTGATGGTCGTGTACGTGCCATTGGGGCTGAAACTCATATGGGGGAGGGCTGAAGGCACGGCTGTTGGACGACCTGGAAGAGAAGGCCAAGTTCCAGAGTGGTTGGAAGCAGGAAGGAGGGACGTGGATTGGGGTGCCTCTGGGCAAGAAGTGCCAGAGTCCTCGATCTATGGGAGCAATCTCAGAGACCACGCCATGGAGGAGGACCACTTTGATGAAGAGTGGGCAACAATGGCTGCTCATGGAGATGTGTGAAGGTTTGCACTTCATGAAGGATCAAGAGGAACCACTCGAGGGAATTGAGGAGAATGTCATGGTGATGACCATCCTCACCAAGGAAGGCGTGACCACAGAGCAGATGGGCTTCGAGGTTGATGCCGAGATCAAGCCACAAGCGGAGGTGCTGGAGGCGAGAGAGCATGAAATCCCGATAGATGAACCCAATCAACCTGAACTACCTGATGAAGGTATGAGAGAAAGGCAAGGAGATGAAACAGAGCAAAAAGGATGTCTTGTGGTGTGCAGAGAGCATCATTGTCAATGAGGTGGAGTTGAGGCCTACTTAAAGCTTGCGAGAGTTGAGGGCAGCTTGCAACTTCTTCAGAATCAGCCAATCTGGTAGCAGGTTGAAGTGTTTCCAGCGGCTGGTCAGTCATGTGCGTGAGGCTGAGCTGAAGGCAGCAGCCGAGGCGAATGCAAGAGTCTCGAGTGCCAAGAGGCCAGAACCTCATTCCAGTACTTGGACCAGAGGAACAGGAGAGACATTGCCTGACGCACACACCATATGCCCTTTGGTGTGAGGCATGTTTAGTTCATCGAGGACGACCAGACCGACATCTACGAACTGGAGCGTCGAGAGTGAGCGGCATTCCCATGATCAGCCTCGACTTCTGCTACACGAAGGCTGGAGTGGTGGACCGCAACCCAAGAGCATTGGATCGTGGAGAGATGGAGCATGAGGAGGTGATCGATCTCTTCGGTGAGGGAGAGCAGCAGGATCTTAGAGAGGGAGAGGAGCCGCCATTGTGTGAGGTGAAGGCGGCAATGTGGCTCATGCTGGTGTGTTCACAGACTGGCCCACTAGGAGCTGTCCCATTGAAAGGGAACGACCAGATTCACTTGATGGCAAGGGAGGTGATGACCTTCATCCAGGGTCTGGGACACACTGAGGCGGGCATCTACAACGACAATGAGCCCACGCTTAGATCCTTGCTGCAGATCATCCTCGAGAGCAGACATGCCATGGGCTTGAGAACCAAGATGTACACCACGAAGGTGAAGGACTCTCCCTATCAGATAATGCAATCCAGCAAGTGAGAGGCTTAGCATGCACCATGATGGAGGACCTGGTGAGCCGCACTGGGCTGAAACTCAACACGAACCATGGTCTTTGGAGTTGGGCGGAGAGACATGCCTGTTGCACATTCTGGCAAGGGAAATCCTAAGTGGAGGCTGGCACTCTTCCTGGGGAAGGCAGAAGCACAAGATGCGTACATTGTTGGTGATGGCACTCAAGTCATGCTGACTCGCCCCGTGAGGAGGTTGAACAGACCATGGAGTAAGTACCTGGGCTACTACTCGAACTTTGTCACGCAGAGCTGGGAGTACCAGGTGAACTTCGGTGGAAGGGTGGTCCCTTCCAAGCGAGCAGCAGGTCCGTTGCCAATCCAGGTGCCGATGAACGCGGTGCCAGATGCAATTCTCTTCAAGCATCGAGATGAAGAAGCTGAAACTGTTCAGAACTATGCCAAGTCTAAGGAGGGCATGGAGGAGCATCAGCGAGAGCTTGAGGGGGTAAGAAGCACTACCAGATGTAGCTGGGGTTGTGTACCTGCCCCCATTGGAGGAAGTTGGTGAGGGCGCCGCAGAGACAAGAGCCAAGACAAGGATTGCAAACGCCACCAGTTCCTGAGTCTCAGTCTGGTGACGAGGGCTGGAATCCCTGGTCATCGACCCACTGCCATGGGAAGATGAGGAGCAAAGAGGACGAGTCCTTAAGAAGACACCATCACCAACTACCGCGGTGAGGGTGGAGCCCCAACACAAAGGCTAGGCTGGAAGAAGAGAGTGCAAAAAGAATGAAGAGAGGTGAGCCGGCAAGAGACTCTGGTGGAGCTTCGTCTTCGGCAACAGGGAGAGACACCTACATGGACTTGGTGGAGCGCCACATCGAGAAAGTTCAGATGGGAGAAGAGGAGATGTACCACCTAGACAAGGTCATTGATGTGGAGACCATCGAGGAGGACGTGGACCACTTTGACACTGGTGACAAGGAGAACCCAATCAGATGGAGTATGGAGTGATGAGCCGTTGAGCAGAATGCCACGACAGCCATCTTGGGAAGCGGAGCTTCTTGCTGACCAAGTGGAAGAGAAGCGGTTGAAGAAGATGGGAGTGATTGAGGACCTCGACGTGACTGGCATTGGTCTGGACAAGCTCATTACAAAGTTTGTCCGAGACTGGAGAGTGAAAACAAGGCAACTGCCAGATGGGAGCTCGAAGAAGCAGTGGGTGAGAAGGCCAAGGTTGGTAGCCAGAGAGTATGCAGTGGAGAAGAGAGATGATGTGTACTCCCCTGCATCAGCTAGCCATGCACTGAGACTACTCCCAGTCCTGTACCTGGCCATGAGATCTTTGGGCTACGACCACGATGGGGAAACGGGCAAACC